TCTAGATGGTTAGACAGACGGGTATAATCGAGTTCATGAGATACGGTTCATTGATTAATATTGATGTCTATCCCATGTGTATGATGTATGGTCAGTCTGGGGATATATCTATCGATGTGATATTCTAAGAGGGTAGGTTGGAGGTAGTTGACCTCGAAAATATATGGTAACTGAGAAAGAAGAAGAAGAAGGACAGAACCTATCAGATGAAACTAGACCCCCGCACATTCATTCCTGCAGGATCCCGAGGATCCATACTACTATCTAATCTTCAGTTACTATCAAGGATGAACATAGTATTATTGACTGGCATACGTCACTTGGGGCTGGCAATGATGATCAATGTGCTAATTTCGAAGTGCTAGTACTATTTCCTTGGGAGTTGATTTACTGTCTGTAGCATGTGCTGGATATCACTCACATATTAGTTGCTAATGGTATTCATAATGTCACTACTATTTATCATGAAATGATCATATTACTACTATCTGTAGACCGTCGATATATATTAGACTACTAGATGTAGTAGTCATTATACTCGAAGAGGGTAAAATTGAGAGTAATATCGTTTGTAAAAGAATTAAGAATAGCCGTGAACAGAACAACTCTTTAAATTGTAGATGTTAAATATACAGACTAAATCTAGTCATGGATATTGTATGAATGTAGTGACAAGTGGATGCTGTAGACCATCGACGTATCAATGCACTGTATGTATATACCTTATGAATATTGTTTCATTATTCATTTCATAGTCGTCATAAACAGGATAATGCAGTGCGAACAATATTTATAATGATAGGGGTATCGTTTCTAGTATGCATAGGCGGGAATAACAATGACCATATGTATGTATGTATGCATGTTGTCTTGTTGGGAGGGGAGAGGAAGTGAGAGGATTGAGGATGATGAATCATGACGAAGATGATTGTTGCTGGGAAGATTCACCTCCCAGTCCAACACCCTCTTGTCGGCCTCTGACTAACGCCAGAAGACACTGACCCACGCCTTCCAGGTCGCCTAGAAGTCCGACGTGGCCACGATCGCTCTTTACCAGACCACCCTTGATGATCCGGTATCCTGGCGGCAGCATGGCCGCGGAGGCAAGACAGACGCCGTCGCCGGCGGCGAACGCCAGGTCGTCATAGGCGTCTTGGTATGGGATGCGCTCGCGCGATTCGACGCGAGCGCCGTAGACGGTGGGCACGGACTTGCCGTATAGCACGGCAAAGGGTGGGTATTTGTTTTGAGACTGATGCGAGGAGTTGAATGCAAGCTCTTGCTTGAACCGAAGGACCTCGGCGAGAGTGCGCTCTAGATAAGTCACGGCTGTTGCACGGGGTATGGTCGTGGTTGTGGTAGCCTTGGTATTGGCTGAGCCCTTGAAGTTGGAGGTTGGTCCTACCGCGCTCTCCAGATTCGGAGCAGTGACCGGTGCATATTTTCCGGTGGACTCATTGGAGGGATTTGCTGTTTCGTTAGGGTTCTGGCTGTGGTTGTGTGATGCCTGCTCGCCATTGGCATCATCCGTCGAGGATAGACTATCCTTGCTGCCTAGGACGGTGGAGATGCGCTTCCCGAGAAGAGGCAGGTTGTCCTTGAAGCCTCTGCTGTTTGGAAGTGGAAGGGCCGGATTGATACAAGGAGAGAGCCGGTAGTCGTCCCACGCCTGGGCTGAGAAAAAGTCCACACGGTACTCTTCCTTCGTCCGTTTGTTGATGAAGCAGTGTCCGTCCTCTGGAAGGAGGGCGAAGCTGGTACGGAAGGTGAAGTTCACCTGAGCTGTAAGGACGCGGGAACTTAGCAGCACATCATCTCCATTACGGAGAGGGCCCAAGATGTTGACACAGTGCTGCGGAACGCCCGCATAGAGGACTCCTGCGAAGAGATCCGGTCGCTGATTAACGGCATGCCGTGTGATGAGGCCGCCCAAACTGTGGGCGATGACATAGGCCCCGCGCTTTTCGCGGGGGACGTCTGGGGAGTTACAGGGCAAGCCTTCGAGAAACTTGACTAGTCGCTTAGCAAGTAAATGCGGACTCAACCGCCAGTCGTAGCCATAATCGTGGACGCGGAGATCCCCGTTGACAGCGTTCGGGCATTTTTGAAGGCGTTTCATCAGCCGGCGGCAGATATCGACTGGGCCAACATGGGACAACACGCCGGACGGAATGATGGTTTCTTCCATGCGTTCCTCATCTTCCGGGTTTAAGCCCACCTCCAGATCCACCTTGCGAAGGTTCAGGCCGACTTTCATCGGAACCCACAGTTGGCGTTGCGGTGGTTTGGCGGACCGCAAGACTGAGCCTCGATAGCCTCCAAGAATAACGACATCACCGGTCATTTCGGCCATGGCCTCGGTCAAATTGGGGTACTGTGCACTGATACTGGTCCGCGGAGAACGGGCCCGAGGTGGGATCGAATCATCACCCGGCATCTCCCGAGCAGCAGGCGGCTGCTCTGGCGTGGCGTAGGTGTGGCCCCTGCGATTAGTGACATCGGACAGAAATGGCTTATAGCCCCAATCACTTCGAAAGTCTTGCAGGTGCAGCGTGGGCATACTAAGTAGCCGGCTGCTGGAATCCTGAAGGCTGTCCTTGATCGCCTTGAACCGGCTGTTGACTTGCGAATGGATATGCTCGTAACGGGGACGCTGTTCGAGCGACGATGCGGTTGACGAAGCTCTCAGGTATAAAGACTGGTCTGAAGATGATCTCCGTAGGAGAGAAGGTGGGCGGCCTGTTGTGCTGGGCCTTCGCGCATAAGAGTGTCTAGCGGTCGTGGCGCCCCCGAGAGGATCGAGTTCAGATACTTGTTCCTCGGGACTATCTCTAGATTCTGGGTCGGAGAACGACTTGCGCCGAGACTGCAGCGCTGATTCGTCGTTTTCCTGTTCCAATGCCAGCTTCGACACGGGCTTCAGGGTCTGACTGCGAGCCCGGACTTGCGATGACGATCCGGGTCGGAAGGAAAGCGATGACCGTTTAGTCAATAAATCTGGCAGGAACTTCTTCAGGCGTATATTGGTCAAGGAGTCGCCGGACCATGCCCTGGGTCGGAGAGGCAATCCGGATTTCAAGATCGAACGGGTGAAGCTGGTTCGCTGACCGTCTTTGGATCCCCGGGCGCTGTCACGCTGTGGCGCCGCCAAGTCCGCTGAAGAGGCTTGAGCATCACCCGGCTTAGCAGCCGATTCCTCAGGTAAAGCTTCTGGTTCGTCGGTGATTTCAGATGCAAAAAGACCCTCCGCTTCCGGCGTATCCGGGATTGTGTCGAAGTAGCTACTTTGCCGTTCCATCATACGGGTTTTCTCTTCCGCAGGCGTGAGGCGCGCCTTCATACGGCTCTGGGCGCGACTCATGCTAACTCCGACGACTTCATTGGCTTCATCTTCGCGGACAGCGTCCGGGAGATTCGGATCCTCACTGTCGGAACTCGAATTGACGGTGAAGGTGGGCGAGGGCTCCGCAGCTGGCGAGTGTGCAATGACGGGGACCTGACCATTGGTCCCCGCCGGATGTGCAGGAATCGCCATGGTTAAGGTGGGCGGAGAGGGGAGAAAGAGATGAGATTATGTATGACCCATGCAGGGAGAGAGTTTAAAAGTTGAGTGATGAGGGAAGATAAGAATAGATGGGAAGAGAAAGGCTGAGACAGACTAGAGAGGGCAGTTCAATTAGGATCCATCACATGTCAGAGTGGATAGATGGATGGGTTACTATGGAGTAGCGCAGTAAACTAACGGTTTGAATGTCTGCGATGGAGCATTCGTATTCGCGTTAGGGTGGCTCCATAGGGGCGAGACTGGAGCGTGCTGGAGGCGATCAGCAAATCAAGCGCATGGAGTCATGGCAAGAATGGGGACGCGAGAGAGCGTGGGACGGAACATAAGATAATGATAAAAAGAAATGGACAGGTACCATCGAAGGAAGGGAGAAAAGCAAAAGAAATATTAATAAACCATGACGAGCAGGGGAGGAGAAAAATGGGAAAAAAACTAAGCAAGAGGGCCAAAAAAGTCAGAGAAAGAGAGGTTCCACCGCACAGCCTCCGGGCGTTCCGGAAGAAGCTTCCTGTCAGTCGCAACAATTATTTCCAGCTTCCAAGCAATAGTTGTAGGAGCAACTAAGAAAGGCTGTACTCGCGCGACGGGGTTATTCTTGGGATCCGACCATGGATAGTGCCGGATAGTTCAACATAGCTGAGCGTTAGTGGGATGCTTGGCTGGAGGTTAAGTCAGTGGCTGATCACCAGGAGGATTTGCTGTCTCGGAGCGGAGCTGAGGTCAGCTTGGGCTTCAGCAGAGAATTGGGAGGGCTGTGAGTTAGTTCACAAAGGGAGAGATTCAGCAAGAGATTGGGTGGAGAGGCATCGGCGAGCATCCGTGAAGAGCCACACGGTCCATGGGTTCATTCTCGAGTTCCGTAGATGGCATTCTCGCATGTAGATACTGCACAAAATCAGACCATTGGCGATAATATTGCAATGAGATCATGCCCCAGGCAATAGCATAACCATCGCATCACATCACCGAACCGAGTAAAAGTAGCTGCATATCGTCATAGTAGTAGCTTGGTTCGGTTGGCGGGCAGCCGAAGCAACAGAACAAATGAGAGAGAAGATGATTTGAGGGGAAAATCAAGAAGATCAAGATGGAGCACCTCAGGCGCCAATCAGCTGACAGTCAGCGGGTTCATTGCCACACCACAACAGACAATTGTTCATTCACTACTACTCCTTACTACTATCTACTAAGTACAGTCAGAAACTAGTCTGGACTGTGTTGTTTACTCTCTCCATCATTGGCCTCCTTCCCTGTCCCTCGCTTGAATCTCAACCACCATAAAGATTAGCACCACCATCATCCCAGCCTCCACATGCCAGCACGCCGGAATGTGGCTATCCCGACGCTAACTGGCATCCGTCCACTCATCCAACCCGGGTTGCTACGTGCTAATTTAGAGCCGTCTTAGGTCCAACCGACCTTTGCGCAATAAAGGAAACTCCGCGTCATGGTACACATCATATTCATAATTTACACTAAATAAAGCACTAGCATATCGCGTATTCGTATCTCATTAACAAAAAAGGCGGGGTTTATCCCATCACAAGAGACCATGGTGTTCAAATCACCGCTGGGTTCTGCTGAAGTTTCCCGATTGAATCTCTCGCTCCCCTTCTTGAGCAATGGCCGAGTTTTTGGCGGCCCCTTCTTCGTGCCCAAAGGCCTTGTCGACCGCAGCTGTGAGCCCGCCTCGCAATGACTCCCCCGCTCCCTGTGTTTCAGGTCAGCATCAGCCGCTCATTAGTGTCGGATAGCCCGCGGCCACTACGGATAAGTGCCTGGCTAGACTCGACGGGTGGTCGGGACTTACATGGATTCCTGCAGCAGCCGACTTCACACCGCCGCCAACAGATTCTCCGGCAGCAGCCGACTTGGATTGGGTGCCATATGTGCTACCGGATGATTGCGTCGGTTGGTATCCCACTCCGCTGGTGGTTTGCGATCCCGAGATCGGGGCCGTGTTGTAGCCAGCTGCGCTTGAGGCAGCGCCTCCGGCAGCGGTAGCCGCTTGGTTCGGTTGCTGGTAAGCGGCTCCGCCGGTGGTGTCGGTAGGTTCACGCATGGCGCCAGAGCCGGTTGCGTTGGTCGACTTGGAAGACATCTCGCCCGTCTTGCTGTTGACACGGGGGTCGAGTTTGTTGAGAAGGGAGGACTTGTGAGGGCCCGCGGTGGAGCTTTGAGGGTTCGACACGTTCTGGGTCGCCTGGGGATGTACGTTGCCGGTGGTTGTCGCACCAGGGGCGTATTGAGCGCGGTTGTTCAGATCGCTATCGACGCGGGGATCGGCCTTGTTGGCGAAATCAGATTGATGCGGTCCGGCAGTGGTGCGCGCAGGGCCGGTATTTGCTTGACCGGTGCTGGTGATGCCGCTGCCAACTTGTGTTCCAGTTGCAGTAGTTGCGCTGGGGTTCTGGTTGGGTTCACCGAAGGTGGAAGAATAGTAGGGAGGCTGAGTACTGCTCATGGTGATATTTCAATAGTAGGTTTTGATCCGTTATATGTTGATATGATGTTAGGTAGTATTCATTCCCCACTGTCTGTCTTCATCTTATATAAGGAGGCGAGGGCGAGGGTGTGAAGCCTTCGACATCATCGATCAGCGGGTGACGTCAGGCAGGACATACCATGGTTCAGACACGGCATCACTGCCATGGACGTGCATATTGTTCAGTGAATGATATGAACAAATGAGAGCAGTCACAGTGAATGCAATGACTGGATAAGAAATGCTGATGATTCTATTCACCTTCAATGCAATGCCTACCAATATATTATCACGTGATGTCTTATCGATAAGACTGCAGAACACAACAATGATGTCATGACAAAAAATGTGCAGCAGATGCAGAAATTAAAGACTAACAGTGAAGTTCCTAGAACCATAGCCTGCAGAAGAAATAGTCAACACCAAAGGATAGACCGACTAATCAAAAAGCCAACACAATAACTCCGAGCCGAAGCCCATCAAGGAGAGAAGCTCAGCCGCGGGGACACGCGGAGGAGTTACTACAAACAGAGCGAAGGCCTAGTGTGGAAGCGAACGAGCCGAGGTTCAGGACGGCTCAGGGTCAACGCCAAAAAGATGGACTTTCAGCCGGATCCCCTTCACTCATTCAATCTGTTATCTCCATTCACTCTATACAGTTAATTTCTATTCATTGAATCAGGCATCAAAATGACCCTCACAAACCGCCAACTCATTTACGTCAAGGCCCCCACAGCCGCCATCGACCCATCCGTAACAAGCGGCACCTTCAACCTCAAGACCACCACCACCATCGACAGGAACAATGTCCCGGATGACAAAGTCCTCGTGCGCATCCACTACCTAGCCCTCGAGCCCGCCATGCGCCAATGGCTCACAGCCAAACGGTCGTACATTGCGCCCGTGAAAATCGGCAGCATCATGCGCGGCCAAAGTATCGCGCAGGTGCTCTCCGTCGGTAGCAGTCTGAAATCCCAATACCAAGTCGGCGACTGGGTCATCGCCTACTCCGGATGGCAGGAATACGCTGTTCTAGGCGCCAAAGAGGCGCAGAAGATCTCCGTGCCGGAGGGGTGCAAGCCTACGGATGCGATGTCCGTGCTGGGGATGACTGGGCTGACGGCGTATTTCGGGATGATGGATGTGGGGAAGCCGAAGGCTGGCGATACAGTGGTTGTGTCTGGAGCGGCTGGTGCGACGGGCATGGTGGCCGGGCAGATTGCGAAGATTCAGGGAGCGAAGAGGGTGATTGGGATTGCGGGGAGTAAGGATAAGTGTGAGTTTTTGGTGAGGGAGTTGGGGTTTGATGTGGCGATCAATTACAAGGATGAGGATTGGAAGAAGCAGTTGAAGGAGGCTACGCCGGAGTATATTGATGTTTACTTTGATAATGTGGGTGGGGAGATTCTGGATGCGTGTTTGGGCCGGGCGGCGCAGTTTGCTAGGTTCGTTATTTGTGGTGCGATTAGCCAGTATAATGTGGCGAAGCCGAAGGGGCCGGCGAATATTATGCAGGTCATTGTAAGTATCCCCCCAACCCTTCTGGAGGAGGGTGCTCTGGAATTTCTTGGGGGTGCTAACGGTGACAGTCGCAACGAGTCAAAATGCAGGGCTACATCGTGTTCGACTACGCCAAGCAGTACCCGGATGCGTTGCAGGATCTGGCCAAGTGGTTGACGCAGGGCAAGATCAAGCGCAAGGAGCATATTGTGAAAGGGGGGTTGGAGTCGGCGCCGAAGAGTCTGGTGGATTTGTATAATGGAGTGAATACGGGTAAGATGATGGTGGAGGTGGTGCCAGCGGAGGAGGGAATCAGAGCGAAGTTGTAGCCCTACCACCTTAGTACTAGCATATACAATTGCAGTAACAGTTTATTTTAATTAAAGCCAATTAATTTCTCGGAATGGTGCTAATTGCTAGCTGTTAACTCATTATGACCACTGCGGCTGCAACCATGGCTGGACCACCATTACTTCATACTCAACTCACGTCATACTGATGAACACCACCCCATCATCACCATCACCTTCACTATCTCCATGCACAGTGGCACATATAAACCGGATTCAACCCTAGACTAGACACCACTTCACCATGTTACAGCGTCAATTCCTTCGTGCAGTGCTACGTCCTACCCACGCAATCCGCACCAGTAATACTATCCGTCCAGCTATATATAACACGGGCACCTACCTCAACCCTACACCACTATATTCCACAACTCAACAACACCACTTCTCACACACAACTACCAGACCCCAATCCAACCTCCACAAAATGGCCTCTGCAAGCAACGAGAACTTTAAGCTGGAGAATCTCTTCGGCGTGAAGGGCAAAGGTATCCCCACATACCCCCACTCCATCTCTACCACAACAGCAAGCTAATAAGAACAACAGTGGCCCTGATCACCGGCGGCGGCTCCGGCATCGGCCTAATGGCGACCCAAGCACTGGCGACCAACGGCGCCAAGGTCTACATCACGGGCCGAACACAAGAGAAACTCGACCGGGTAGCAAGCCTCTACAACAAGAACATAAGCGGGGAGATCATCCCGATCGTGTCAGACATAACCTCCAAAGAATCCATCAGCAAGCTCGTAAAGGAGATTGAATCGCGCGAATCCCACCTCTCCATCCTGATCAACAATGCCGGAATCAGCAGCAGCACGGATAACACGGAACCCAGCGACGCTACGGAACTGAAGAAATCGCTGTTCGATGATGCGACCCCCATGAGCGAGTGGGAAGATACCTACCGGACGAATGTCATGCAGTTGTATTTCACCACGACGGCTTTCTTGCCGCTGTTGCAGAAGGGGTCCGAGAGGGAGAAGGGGTGGAGTAGTACGGTGGTGAATATTACCAGTATCTCGGGTATTGTGAAGGTGTCGCAGCATCATTTCGCGTATAATGCTAGCAAGGCGGCGGCGATTCATTTGACGAAGATGCTGGCGCATGAGGTGGCCGATAGTGGGTTGAGGATTAGGGTGAATAATATTGCTCCCGGGGTGTTTCCGAGTGAGATGACGGCCGGGGAGAGTGATGAGAAGCAGAAGAGTCAGTTGGCTAAGGAAAAGTATGAGGGTAAGGTGCCGGCGGCGAGACCGGGCAAGGATGAGGATATGGCCAGTGCGGTGTTGTTTGTTAGTACGAATCAGTATTTGAATGGGCAGACGGTTGTTGTGGATGGGGGATATGTGTTGGCTGCTGGGACGGTTTAATGTATTATTATGTGTGAATGTGAATGTATGTTATTGATGTACATCAAGGTTATACATCCATTCTGATCTCATCACTTCTGATGCTTTAATCCGTCGGGCTGCATCGGGGTTTAGCATCGCGTATACCACGTTTCTGCATTGTGCCTGTCACACCACACATTAGCCATATACCCAGGCATCATCCATCCACAAAAGCGGAAATGAAAGAAGGCATCTTACCCCTCCCAACCCCTCAATAACCCCATACCCCTCCCTCCTCTTCCTCCCAGCAAGATACTCCGCATACCGTCCATCCTCCTCCTCACTCGCACTCCGCCAGAGAATCCTCCCCAGTCTTAGGACAAGGTATATAATCCCGACAGCCCAGATATCCACAGCCCGGGGATCATCCCCTGCTACCCCTAGGGAAGGATTTCCATACCCACGTCGACGATAAGCCGAAGACGACCGAGAAGTAGAACAAGGATGAAGTACCTCCGGCGCAGCATAAGGATTAACCCTCCTCCTATCACATCTCCCCTCCAACTCCTCAAACTTCCCTATCCCCATGGATAACCCCCTAACAAGGGGATATACATCCTCTTTCCATGCAGCGTAGTACCCATCACAACCACCACCATCTTTCACCCCAACTCGGTCACGAGAATACCCAGAATCCAAAACCCTCGCATCCCCCAAATCCCCCAACTTGACACAAACCCCATCCCCACCCCCATCCCCAGAAGATGAAGAAACCAAAACATTCTCCACACAAACACACCCATGAACCACCCCCATCTCATGCAAGAACTCCACTGCGCTCATAATCTGATATAGAATCTTATCTGCTTCTGTCACTGGCATGACACTATCCCCTGAACTTCCTCCGTAGGAAGAGGAAATATATGTCCCGAGATCACCTAATTCGCAATACTCACTCACCAGACATGTTTCTCCACGGGAGTTGGGGATGATGTCGATTGTGTGCAGGAGATGTGGATGGTAGAGGGTTGATGAGAGGAGGGACTCGAGGGTGGATTTTAGGGTTTGTTTTGTCGATGTGGTGGAGGGGGTTGGGCGGAGGGTTTTGAGGACATGGAGTATTTTTCGTTTCTTGTTGGTGGTGGTGTTGGTGTAAAGTCGAACGGAGCTGGATGTGCCGTAGTGGAGGATGGTGGTGCAGGTGCCGTATTTTTCTTTGAGGGATGGTGGTGTATTTTGCTGTTGCTGGTGGTGTTGGTGGTGGTGGTGAGGAAGGAGAGGGCTTTCTTCTGATATGGTGGTTGTGTCTGTGTTTGCTTCTGAGAGGATAGCAGTGCTATGTGTATGTGTATGTGCATGCCATGGCATAGGAACCGAAGGAAATGAGAACGAGTACTCCGAGAAGGGGAGTTTGAAACACAAGTAGTTTTTGGCGATTGCTATTGTTGATGGCATTTTATTCCTCTTTGATTATAGAGTAGTGTATACTATGTAGAGATGAAGTAAAGAGAGGTAGATGTGATGTAGGGAACCATCACGTATATACCTCTGCTACTACTACAAGGACTAAAAGTATGCGGCAATTGTCGATCAGTCAGAGAGTGCGGAGGTAGTAGTCTAGTCTACCTCCTGACAGACAACCCTTAACTAGTACTTACTAGCTAGTTAGTAAAGTAAATGTATGGTTCAGCACGTCCAACTTAATCCCTCGCCGCGCGAAGGATCACTCACTCACCTTACTCATTTCACACCATCAGAATCAGTTACTTCAAGGCTGTAAACTACTTACTACTAAAGTAGGAGAGTAGATTAGGTATGATGACATCTCATCACCACTTACGTAGACTGCCAGAGAACTACTATTATGTATGTCGTACAACATACATATAGCTAAATTATCAGATAGAAACTAACTGTAGCTGCTACTGCCACCTGCACAGCATCAAGCAAGGGTCACAAGCATGCTACCGTCACCGCCAGTCCCAACGGATGTAGATGAGGGATTTCCATCACCAATCCCATTCTTTAGATTTCTCTACCACAGCTAGACTACCTACCCCGCGCACGACAATCCAGACCAAATATGGGGTTTGGTGAACCGCGGGACGGATCTGAACTGAACCAGAGCCAGTAGTTTAGTTTACTTTATCTCGTCAACTGCTTGCATGCATGCATCATTCTAGGTAAATTGAGCTGTATGGTAGCTGTGTCTATGCAATATCATACACCATCCAGTCCATCAATCACCGACCAGCGAATTACCCTGCCATAGTAATATGTTCATCGAAGAAAAAAAAGATAATTATCTAAATTGTGACTGCGAGGCATCCATCACCGCACCTTGCCTGCCTCGCGCACTTCATGCATAAATCCGTCCTCGTCACCCGCCGAGCCCAACATCCAGTAGTCGCCCATGCCAGATGCCATCTGTCCCCCTCCGAACCCGGTCGCCGAGGCCGGGGCACTGTGTCGCTCCTGCGTCCGAGTGCCCCCCTGTCGCGGTCCCCAGCTGAGAATGTCCTGCACCGCCTTGCGACTCTGGTCGTCCGGCTTGGTGTACCCAAACAGCTGGGGCTGCAAGCATCCGAGGATCGCAACGGCCGCCCGGATCATGATCCGGTCTCCTTCAAACACCCAGCAGTCCCAGACCCGGCTGAGACGCTCCAAGTCCAGCCCGTTCGTCAGCAGCGACCGGAACATCGGCTCCCAGATCTCTTCGTCGCTGAGTCGGAGCGTCTCGTGCAGATGCGTCGTCAAACGCGGGAATTTGTATTTCAGCGTCGCAGACGCCAGTGAATATGTACGACCGATCGCCCCGCGGTCCAATGTAAGAAAAGCAACAGGGAGCGGCCGGTTGAGCGCGTTGGCCATGGCCAGGAACGCCGACGATGGCGATGGGAATTGCAGAACAAGGAGGGCAGCGATGGTCTAGAATCGTTAGTGATGAATCATGGATGGCATGAAAGAGAACTCACATGCAAGCCACTGACATAGCCCACGTCGCTGCGATACATCGAGTACGCCTGCAACACATCGATCAACGTCTCGCGCAGCGGACCACCGACTTGAAACAGGTTCAGGTCAGGGAACGCCTTGGACGCATCAGCGTCGATCGCCTCGAACCAATCTCTCATGCGCTTGTTGGTCTCCCCAGAATCGCCCTCGGGCCGCGCCCGCACGTCCTTGGCGCGCTGCAAGGCCTTTTTGTATGTTTCCTCGGAGAGAGCCAGCTCATTGCCGATGGCACGCTGCCAGGTCGAGCCCCGGATCCGAGGCGGCACTCCGCGCCACCATAACTCCCGCGTGCGGGTTTCATTAATGACATTATCCCAATTCGGGTAGACGTACTCGTCCCAGATCTGCTGCAGAGTCTCGCGAGTGTTGTCTTTTTCACATTTCGCGGAAGCAGCCTTCGCCGCACGGCGTTTGTCTATAACGGTCAGTCGTCGAAGATGGCAACGAGACGAGTCACATACCTGCTTCCTTGGCCTGCGCCATCATCCGCTTGTATTCCTTCAAATGCCGCTTCTCCTCCTTCTGGTCCTTCGGAGGCAGCCAGCTGGGCCGGGTCCGCGTCAGGACCTTCTCCTTCTCCTTGCTGGGAGGTAACGGATCAATCATGATATTGGACTTTTGCAACGGGGGCAGCTCAATGGTGCTTTTGGACCCACGCTTGGACTCCTCGCTCGAGCGGAGAGAGGACAGCCCGCTTTGCAGGCGCTCTCCCCGCTGGCGCTGGCGCTCATCAGCGTGGAACTCCAAAGCCTCCGTGATGATCTTGGCTTCTTCCGACAAATCCGACATCATATTGTTGTACGAGTATGCTCGCGGGTTGCGGGGCGAGATCTGGCCGCGCTCAGGTCCTGCAGAGCTGGAACGATTGTTGCGGGTTGTGGGGGATCGCGAACCAGAAGGCGACCGGGGCACAGTGACATCGGATACCGAATGCGACAACGGCAGGGGTCGAGGACCTGGGCTGCGACCGTTGGGGCTGGGGGCCCGGGACGGCGCTCGATCCTGCACCGGCCGCGGGGAGATGGGCACATTCCACAGACTCGCATCCTCGGGTAATTCTTCATCGGAGTCATGGTATTCATCCTCCAAGTCCTGCACGGTTTTGCGCGGTCGCTGCCACGAGGGTTTCCGGTTGAGGGTGTGGGTATTGACGGGGGTCAGGGACAGGCTGTGTGTAGACGGCGACGAGCTCAAGCTCGATGTCGGTCGCAGTGGGGAGGAGGAACGCGAACGATGAGGCTTCGTGACTTGGAGGGCTGATTGCTTGGTGGAGGCTGGATCCCGCTGATTGCCGGGGCGGTGCTTGGGACCGCGGCCCGGCTGAGCCAAGGTGCCATTGACCTGCTTTCCGGTAGGGTACGGGGTCTTTGTTTTCGTGGCGGTCAGATCGCGTGTTGTCGCAACCGCCGATTTCTGCATGATGGCCGCTGAAGCTCGTGTGATTCCAGCATTTTGGACGTACGGGGTTGCACCCTTGGTGTAGGAGACATGCACATCATCCTGGAGGTCCACTTCTTCGAAATTGGAGATATCAGTGAAGATGGCCTCGGGGCCGGAGTGTTGCGAGGAGGAACGAAAGGAGGAAGACTTGGAGGACTTGGACCCGGAGAGGTCAGGAGGGGAATTCGGGGTGGTCGTACAAACGGTTGTCATTTCGGCGGGAAAGCTGCAGAGTTCGAGACTCTTCCCAGATCAGGCTAAGGGAAGAACCTCAGGGGATGAACCTCACGCAGCTGCGTATACCAAGGACGAGATAAAAGACGATGTAAACACGTCCGATGGTGTCGCGAATTAAAGACAAAGAAAATAAGCCGTTATTAGGAGCGAAAGACGGGGGTGAAGAGGTGGGATGATCTCCGGATGGTATTGATTAATAGGTGTGTGACGGAAGAACCCCAAGCAGGATGCTGCATGCAATGGAAGCGGCAGAACAAGTGGCGGATCAAAAGATGGTCGGGGGCGAGGCTGTTTTTTCTTTTTCAAATTGGTTCCGTATTATTCTTGTCCTCCTCTTACTATGCACTCAAGGGATTCAGGAGTTAATCGTGCAGCGAGCAGTGCATTTGGGGGCCGGAGCCGAAGGGGGAAGGGGACGGAGAGATGAAACGATCCCCGACAAAAACCGAGACAAGAGGCAGATGAGACAAGCAGCGCGGCGGAGGAGATGGGTGGGAAACGATAGACTAGACTAGACTAAAGCGAAAGACTGGAATGTTGGGAGATATTAAGAAAAAGAAAAGGAAACGAAAGTATGAGGATGAAGAGCGAGTGAGAAATTGGGAGGGGAATGAATGGGGAAAAAGAAGGTGGAGGAGGATGAATGAAAGCAGAAGAGAAGGAAGAAGAGGAGGAGGAAGAAGGGGGATGGGATGGGATGGGATGGAGATGGGGATAAGATTAGGATGGGGATACAGTAATACTACGTACTAGTCGTAGTTGGTACTAAGGATGGATGCAATCAGACCAGCAAAGAGAAGAGAAGCTGGCTGCAAACGAGCAACCAAACGGCAGTTCTGGACAAGGTCTGGCCAATCCCACTGGAGGCACTAGACGGCGATGGACTGGCGATCATTGGCTGTCTCTTCCAGAAGGATGTCTGCCTCGAACAGCGCACGGATTAATGGAGGCACGATAATGACCGTGAAATGAGGGTGGATATTCTTCTCACCAGGAAACGGTTCCAGTTAGTCCAGTTAGTCGAGTTCAGTCCAATTAGTCCAAGTCGTCGTGGGTAAGTCACCTCGGAGTGGTATAGTCTCGGTTTGCAAGTTTACTAAAGCATTACCCGCACCGCCACAGCCGAAATGAAGGCTGATACTAACTGGGTTTCCACCCGGTTATTAATTGTCCAGGAGAAAAAAAAGAAGAAGAAGAGAGAGAGAGAGAGAGAGGGAGAGATTGGAACTGAAAGCTGCATATAGTCACTAGATAGCTATGCCTTGGAAGACTTGGATTGAACTTCATTCCTTTTTGTTGACAATTTACCGTTGATGGGCAACCACACCCGCCCAACTATTTTGCCTCCCCCTTTTCCAAGGTTCTCTTCCTTCTCTCCCTTCAGGATCCTCCCTTTAGATCTCTCACCCCCTGATCCAATTCTCCGTTGTCCATGGCCACCAGATCCGTGGTATGTGTGCTGCCCTGCCCGTCTTTGTTTTTTTGCCCGGCCGACGAGCCGCGGGTCTCCGGACTGGAGTTCTCCCTTAGTCACTATAACTAGATAACTAGCTGCTAATTAGATGAAATGGGTGCTAACCGATTAGGGCGTAGTAGTTAGTGAGGGTTACCTAAACTAGTACTCCGTACTGGGTACTCCGTACACCGTCCATACTTACTTAGTTACTCACTTACGGTCGCGGTAAGTGCCCGATCGCAGACAGAAAACCTCCTCGGCCTCTGCCTCCACCCCACGACACTAAATCGTTCGGAACCAGGTTTCTTGATCGAATCTCAGGAACTGTCCTGCCCTTTGCACCCTATACCGTAAGATTAATTGGCTACAAATCCTGCATCAGGCTTTTCTGTGCACTTTCCCCCCCCCGTTCCACTCCGAATTGAGTGGGCTTTGAGATCGGACGCCACCCGCATCGGGGAGTGTTTGTGTGTGTGCTTTTTCCAGTTCGATACGTAGTACAGAGTAATTCTGTCGTCATGCCCGTTCTCATCCTTCCAAGGCCACTGCATCCAGATTACATCACCCGCTCCCGGTTCTTGCTCTTGCTGTGCTTGCTGTGCTTGCTTGCTCTCTGCAGGTGTATGCTAGTCTGGGCTCTTCCTCATCGGCATCTTCTTTCCCAGCCTATCTACATTCAGCAAGGGGGTCTAGCCTCCCACTCTCGGTCATCTGCTGTCTCTAGTCTCTACACTCTAGAACTTCCAGCCGCCATATGTCGCATTGCCCGTTCGCACCACCTGCCCCAGCTGCCAGGCCTGGGTCTGGGAATTGGGCTGGCTCTCTCGGAGAATGACATCCAGCCAGCCCAACACCCGCGCGTAGCGGGCTTGCTTGCGTCCCAGCACGAACCGGAACGCCGCGGCAGCCAGGTATTCAACCTCGCAATGATGCACCCCGCGACCAGCTGCGGCTGGTCCGTTCGCCTCACGTCGGGCTTGGACCATGCGGGTGGCTAGGTGTATCATGTCTCGAATGATTCGAATCACCACCTCGGGGGCTGGGTGCATCTGCCCGGATGACTTCAAGTATCGGTACATCTTCATTCCCGATATGACGAAGTTTGCATACAGGTTCGACAGGATGACCCCAATCGTGTTGTGTTGCCGATCCAAGTACATGGGATGCATGAGCAGCTTGAAGGACCCAAGCAGTTTGCGGTGAAGAGTCCGGCCCGGTACTCGCGTCAGTTCGACCGTGAGCGAGTTCGAGAGACTAGTGGCGACGGATTGCCCCCCTTCCAGAATGCGCTCATGATCCTTGTAGATCTCCAAAGAACGGGTATCGATCAGACATCCACAGTAAGGGAAGAGCCGAGTATCCACGAGACGCGGGACCTGAATACCCTCCACAGCGGCGGCGAAGTTAACCAGGCTTTTGGCTGGGTTGACTGAGACGCCATAGGCAGGCTGCCCGGGGATCATCACCTGGAGAAAACGCATAGCCAGTGAGGATTCGGTGGTGACGAGTAGGAAGTCGTCAACTAAGCGAACCAGTAAAGCATTGTCTGACTGCAGGAATCCCAGTACTTGCTGCTCCATGTCTGCATAGAATAGGTTACACAGCATGCTCGATAACACTGAGCCCTGGGGAATGCCATTGCATTGCCGAAAGTAATTCCGCCCGAACTTAATTAGATTGTTTCGCACGTGGTCATCGAGGAGGTCGAGTAAATCTTCCGCATTGAATTCTCTCTGCATGAGCGTGTCCACAAAGACGGTGTTTCGTCTTTGGCTGATCTCGCCGTTGCTCACCGCCTCTGCCAGGTGCTGTGGCCTTGCAGCAGGGGCTGCTCTACCGACGAATCGCCGCCTAGCCTTGCTTGGTCGTTCGTGCGATGGCCACAGGATGTTGAACTCATCAGACGGCGTCATTTCGACGTGCTTGGTATAATGGTAGGCGGCTTCAGTGATCAACCTTTCAATAAGATGGACCAGGCTTTGCTGAGGGATTGTATCAAAGCAAGACTGGATATCGAGTTTGACAAAGTACAATGGAGGCACTGGGCCCTGATTCTGTAGGTGTCTCTTGAAGATTTTCAAATGGGAATAAATCTCCCCAACTGACTGCACACATGAGCCTAGTTTGGACGGTGCTCGTGTCTTCTCGTACTGGAGCATGCTATGAATCGGGGCAACAACCGAATTGACACTCCAGAATTTACCGGATTTTGCGTGACCCGCTAGTACAGGTTTTCGCTTGAGATTCAAGAGAGGGCGAACGCCTGTTGATTTAGGTAAGAGTCGTAAGGAGCCATATCCCATACCGCTCTTCTCTAATCTCTTCTCTACCACACGCTGGGCTGTGGCTGGCTCCAGCTCTTCGAAAACGCCAGCCTTGAGCTCAATTATCGGTCTTTCAGTCAGCTGACACCAAACGTCGTGCCGGAAATAGAACAAACGGTTTCGACCAGACTGGGACTCGGTGACATAGAAGTTGGCACGGATGAGTGGTATCAGGATCGAGTCGAACAGGTAGTACACAAACTCATGAAGTAGCTCCGTTCGCTTCTCGAAGTCGGACCTCGACAGCTTGTGTGGCACGGGATTGCATGCTTGTCTTGTAGTAGAAGGAGGCTCAAGCCAAGGTATACAAGTGACCTAAAGATATGCAGTTAGTATAGAAAAACAAGAATATGGTTGTGATGTCAATGAACCTTGATCCCCTGGCACACATCCTGAAGACTCAGGTTTTCGAAACGCCGCATTTGCACGAATTGATCAACATGCTTCAGGATCTTATCTTGATGCAGAATTCTGTTCTGACCAGTTCCATAGAATTGAGGGGGAATCAGGTTCTTCAAGACAGCTCTGCAGAAGGCGGAGACAGATGAAGCAGGCGTCGCGTAGTCGGTCAAGCTGAGCTTCGGTGCTTGTATTTTTGGCATATCGCTGATACTTGGATCTACCGAGGGACTACCATCCGGAATTGAAGAAGATGCCTGCTGGCAGGGAAGTCGTGGCTGAGTTATCAAAGACTCTGATGCTGACAATTTGTTATCATCGAACGGCTCAGGGCCGAGTTTCCACGGTCCAATACGCTAAATTATTAGCATCACCCTACAATGTTATCAGTAATTCTGCGAGCATACCTCTGCAGGACAATAATAATTGAGCAAATGCACATAGGAACAGTGCTTATTCCGGTTCTGCAACTGCTGGACCAACTCCACAGCTTTGCCTTGAAGTCGTCTGGGGATTATGCTTTCTGAGTGTGAATGGGCTCGCCTTGCCTTCTCTAATTTTGCAATCTCATCTTCGCGATAAGCATAATCTTTGAATGTGTCTTGCCCATTTGACACGCTCGAGAAGACATTGTGCAAGCCAAACTGTTTGGGAAATATGTATTTCAACACATGAGTAGTGTGCGCGAGCGATGTGGAAGGGAAACGGTTCAGAACATCTGAGATGTTAGCCAAGGGGCCAAACTATTGATCTTGGCTGACTCACGACTCTTCATCCCAAACTGTATCTTTCCTTTCGAATCAAGCACTGGAGAAGCATACAGAATACGTCGGCGATGGAAGACAACGGGAACTGGCTTCTGTGTGGTCGCCTTGCAGTCAGAAGTGCTTGTATTCATTTTCGTCTCCTTGAAGTCAGACGCTGGTACAGGCTTGCTTGTCACAGAGCCAAGTGCATTGTTTCGAGCCAAATGGCTTTGAGGCACTTTGTTTACAGGCTCAAGTGTTGATAGAGGGAGTCCTAGATTGCCATCTTAGTAGTGTACTGTACTCCCTATGGAGCTGTCTTACCACTTAATTGGAAATAAATTCCTCTTTGCTGATCAACGGCCACGAATATTCCACAATCCAGGAGAAGTTTTAGCATGATCTCTTCTCCGTTGTCTCCCAACAAGCCAAGCACTTCTGTCCATGGCGCCCGCTTCAGTTGCTGAACACTGTCATTAGGGAACTGCACCTCGAGGCCTGAAATACTGCATGAGATCGTCCGCTTCCTATGAGCAGGATGCACGCTCTCACGTCTGAAGCCCCGGGTCAAGAGATGAAGGGGCCTTTGACGGGAGAATTTGTCACGACTGAACAGAGAGGATATGACAAAATCTACAAGCTATGATGTACCGTCAGTACCTATCGAGCCAATCCAGAAAAGTGGATTGTACCTCTGCCTGAGCACATGCTGGTCCAGTGTCCGTGCTAGTTTGTTCAGATCTGGACTGCGACTGCGTAAATGCAGCTAGCTCTTGCCGGCGCTTTTCGTTGCATGTCGGATGCGAGTCGGTCAATATGCCTATCAGCGTCGTATCAAGAAAACTAGCAAGTTGTCCTGAGCCACCATCGTCATTGGTCTCGACAGGAGCCTGCTCATGACGTATTGACACAATTCTCCGACGGCGGGATTTGGAGGATAGGGGTATTTGGCGTAGAAGGTACTGTCTCAGCGTTAAAACCTGAGAATAGTATAGCGAGATGACTGGATGGGAGTGCCCTGCAGCATCATCACGAGCCAGGCTGCGCTGTCCCTTGAAACAAGTGGATGCTGGAGAGGTGCATGGCTGCGACAACCTGTCCAGCGCACGGTCACCCTTAATGGGTCTCTTCCTCTTCTTGCCCATTAGGAAAGAACTGAATCAATCAAGACCAGTTCGCTTAATGCAAGCGACTGTCTGCCTCACATGGATGGGTGGTCTGATCATTACATTTGGTATGACGGCCAGGTGTTGTGATATACCCCAAAAGGGAAGCGCGCTGAGACGCGCTGCGGCAACGCGACAGCCGGGGATCACGGGAGCAGCCGTCCTTACCGACCTTCTGCAACCAGTTAACCAATACCGAATTTGCTACGGATACCCCTACTGACGTTGCTGATTGCTCATTCTGCCATGTCCGTTTGCCAGGGCCCAGGAGCCTAGAACCACTGCTTCTTTACTCAGGGTCATTCGCCAGCATGAACGAAAACCAACCCCTTAGAGGTGACCCAGAGAAGCCGAGTCGAAACCCGCAAGCGATCGAAGAACATGGGGCGCCATGTTTGGGAGTGAAACAATTCTCCACTCGCCAGCGCATATCCCGAGAACAACGGTCAATAATCGAACCTTCCAAGCGGTAGCTCGATAGGAGACGTTCCTTAATGGGAAGCCTGGTAAGGCAACAGAACCACTGCTTCTGTTTGAAGTCGAACTCTATTTAGCTTCTTGCCTGCGTCGTCGAACTATTCGAAACTATCGGCTTCGTTGGACTATTGTTCACTCAAACTTTCAGAGCGAAGCTCCTCCTGAAACGAGTCCTGGGAACGTAGATCGTCAGGGTAAGGTGGCTATCTACAGGCAACTCTCAAGAACGAATTCTTAGGAGCGCGGGTCACACGTTCTGACAGAAAACCGTCAATAGAAGCGGATTATAAAGGATCCCTTGCTCCATATAGGCTACCAAAATCCCACTGGTCATTGGCGGCATCGGATCAGTAATGCTCGCTTCTCGAAGGGAAGATCTGTAAGCGACCGCCGATCTTTGCCAACTCCTGCTCGGCGGTTCATAGTTTAACTGGTTGGTGCACGGGAAAGATTTTTCCTTTTCATGACCTCAATGAAAAAACCGACACATCACGAGTTAACCGAGCTAGGGAGCTCTTCACTCTTCAGCCGTAGGATGTGTAAACCTTAAAAGACTACATTGCAGGCGGCAGAACAGAGCCTGGCGTGTCCGTGTCCGTCAAAGGGATGGCGGATGCAAGAAGGCGACATCCGGCGGGCCGTCGGGTGACCAGCTCCTCCGTCAGTGGTTGGAATTGGATTAACTCATTACCATTGCATTATTGCGACCGGGAAGATGTATCGTAGCAAGGGTGAAGGCGTAAGACTGATGAGTCTGAGAGGGAGATACACTTACACAAGAGATGGACCACTCGAGTAGATTCCGATCCGTGTGCCCCACCCATCCTTTTCTTTTTTTTCCCTTTCTCTTCTCTTTTTCTTCCTCTCTCTCCACTCACCATGCCTTCATTTTCAAATGGAAAGTGAAAACGACATTGTTCGCTAATGCTGGAACTCGGATCCGGATTGTGGACGAGACTGGGTTGGAAATGGAAAGAAAATCTATCCAATCAGACTGAATTTCCGTCGATCCCTTGTTCCTGAAGACACCGCCGGATAAGAATAGAAATCATAATGAGGTTGTGTTCAACTATCGTAGCCACGGTGCTCGCACGGACAAGGATGGGGGAAGCTGAGCCAGATCCTTGGAACGACGGCGGTCTAGAAAGGTCGCCGCTAGGCTCTAGCAGGTAGTACCAAGAACCAGCATTCCCGACGGTGGTCAATCAATCGCAATTGATTGCGTCCCCACCGCGTCAGCCTCTCTCGCCTTGCGGAGTCTGGGGGGTTAAATTTTCTTTTCTGCTACAGGCTGGCTGAAAACCACAGCCCCTGGTAGGCATGCAAAGCATGTTGACAGACAGTTCCGTCTCCTGTCTGTCTGTTGGTGCCTGATCCAAGTCCCGGAGCCCTGGTTTTGCAAACGCCTCCCCCGGAGGAAGGGGTGAAGAACGAGAAAAGCGTAGACGAACAGGAAGTAAAATGTCGCTGCATGAAACTGCCGATTGCCCCGTATAATTATATCATGCAAATCAGTCCGTGGTACTTTTCATCCTAACTGCAAGGACACCCAATTGCCCACGGCTGTGAAATAAGCGGTGTGGTGGTAAGGGCACCTGTCCTGTCTAAAAGGACGTCCTAGAGTAGTCCGTGTCGGCGATGGTATCTTAGCAGTGCCGGTAAAAAGGACGGGACTTGTTGAAAGCAGTCGAGGTCACTCGTCCATTCAGATTGCAACACGATGCTCTGTACTAGTGTCACTTGCGAGTACAAAGTATATCCATCCACGGAGCACTCTAAACTAAATTAGACTCTTCCACGACCACCCAAGACTGGGCCTAGTGGAGCGAAGCAGGTACGTCATGATTATTATTGCAGGCGGTGACATGCGAACGGGATATTGACAGATGCATGCTACATACCAGAGCAGAAGCAATTGAGTCGACTACTGTGCGTGCCGCAGGCATAATCTGCTGGTTCGGATCAATTTAACCAGTAGTGATTCATCTCTGAAGACTGAAGGACAATCGGAAAAATCTAAGTCACTGTCAGCCGTACTTACGGCACTGGATAAAATAAGGCAGACTTGTCAATGATTATGCAAACCAACGAATCTACATGGGTTGTGCAGTTGGTTGGTGTGTGGAACAAAATTCACACTTTGTGTATGATAAAGACACATTGGCAGCAGGTCGGCTGCTTCTGGATAGGCTGATAAGGCGCGGCACATATCCTTTCTACCTCATGAGGACTTTCCGCAGTAGTAGTACTTAATCTACTAGACCTACAGCAGGCCAATAGTATGGCTCGTTCAGGTGTCACAATAGGCACTTTTATGTATTGTGTCCCACTCGAATACACCTATAAAGGCATGCTCGTGTCGTTGGGACTGGCTCGATGTAGTTATTCCGACTCACCGACATGGCAGATATGGCCCCTTTCCTCCTCCCTTGCTCCCACGGTGCCACTGTCAAACGGATGGGAAAGGCAGAGACGGAGTGCACTCTCTATCTAGGAGGGAGAAGACGGATGATCACGGGGATATCCACTTACTCCAATCATCCCATGAGAGGAGTCACATCTCCTATACGCAAAGCTGCCACCTACCTTTCAGGGATGGACGAATTGATAGTAGCAATAGGAGGTATTTTCTGATTAGACATCGTAGATTGTATGCTATTATCTGTCACGTCTTCATGGAAAGAAAAGGACTCTTCCATGCAGTAACTGACTCGAGCAATAAGACAGTGGAACTTCATCGGCTGGTTCAGAAGCATCAGACAATAGATTACTGTATTGTGTATGTAAGTTGTATGCAGTACGCACCCAATACGTGAGGTACAAGGATTATGGGTTAAGCATTGAGCACAAGCATATCAGAAAGAGAACATAATTATCAATGATCCTATACATTTGCCAGAAAACAGGACCCAACGTAAACATTGCCATTTGCAAGACAAACAAGGGAAGTTTCGACGAAGGAGAAATCCCTCGACTAATATCTTTTCTTCCCCGACAAGACTGGACGACCACGGGCATGAGAAGAGTAATCAAACAAAGACTGGTGCATGAGACCGAGTCCCATGGTACACAACCCAGGGAATGAACGGCCGGATCATGTAATCAAACTCTGTGCCCTTTGCATTTCCCTTTTCTTCCCTTGTGTCAAACGATCTAGAAGAAATTTTCTTCTCTAGAACGTCTCCTGATCCGAAGACTGATAAGGCGCTAGCATGCCTCGCAGCGGATAGGTCTTTCCCTTCACCATATAGCCATTCCTTCTGCCTCACTAAATGCAGACTGCGGGAAAGCCGGCCACTAATCGGTGGGATCGGCAGTAAATGGTGATCTAGATAGTAGATAGATCTTCAAATTTTGCCAGTCTTATTTCCCCCCTGGGGCTGTTATCTCTGTTTACAATTCACATACAGGGAAGGCCAGGATGTGGCCACAAGATGGATCAAATACCGACTTTTCTCGAACTATTCAAGCGATTGAACGAGTTTACTAGTCGATTATCTATCAACTCTAATCTGCTTCGTCATCTAAGCACATTAAGCCGTCTCTCAAAGATCTAAGACCTGGACTAGACCGCCGGCTAGTGTCCGTTCTCCGTAGCGAACAGGTCGTAGTAGTAAGTAGGAGTACTAATCAGCGGCCAGGAGTTTCAGGTATTGACAATACCGTACACAGCGAATCTTTCCTTTGATGGAGCTTTCCCGCGAAGCCAGAACCTTTCCGATTAACAGGCCCATTTTTTCGGGCCTGAGTGGGAGGGGGGAGGGGGAACGAGACTGAATGGGCATCAGACATT